GTGAGATCGGACTGTTGAAGTTGAACAAAGCCGCGGGACCAGATGACCTTCCTCCAGCCCTCTTCAAATTCGGAGGCTGTGCTCTTGTTGATGCTTTACATGAATTACTAGTGAAACTATGGGAGCAGGAGACTGTCCCAACCGACTGGAGCCGCTCCGTTATTGTTCCCATCTTAAAAGGCGGCTCGCGCTCGGAATGCGGCAACCATAGAGGAATCAATCTGATCTCCATCGCTTCCAAATTGCTCGCCTCCATAACTCTTCACAGACTGACTGGCGCTCGTGAAAGCCAGATTCGTGAGGAGCAAGCCGGGTTTCGTCGGGGTCGTGGCTGTATCGACCACATCTTCACCTTGCGTCAGTTGTTGGAGCACCGCCACACATATTGGCGGCCCACCGTAGTCGTGTTCCTCGACATCAAAGGTGCCTTCGATTCGGTTGATCGATGTGCCCCTTGGAATCGTTTACTCAGGAAAGATGTGCCTGAGAAATAACTAACTATTATCCGAGCAATATATGTGCGTAGCACGGGCAGAGTGAGGGCTTACGGCAAGCCGTCGCCACCCTTCAATATCTCCAGCGGTGTGAGACAAGGATGCCCGCTGTCACCATTCCTCTTCAACTTCGCTATTGACGAAGTCATGGAGATTGCATTTACAGGACATGACTTAGAAGGTGTGGAGCTACTCCCAGGAGAACGGCTTCTTGACTTGGAGTATGCAGACGACATTGCCCTCATCTGTGACAGCTCGCAGACGTGCCAAGCCGCGCTTGACTGATTTGCACTGGCTGTCAGTCGCTTCGGGCTTTGCTTTGCACCATCGAAATGCAAAGCGTTCCTCCAAGATTGGCAGGGTTCGCCTGCTTCGCTGACCCTTCGTGGAGATCAGCTAGAAATCGTTCGGAAATTCAACTACTCGGAAGTTGTATCAGCTCCCTTGAGATCGAAGATGAAATCATGATCCGTATGTCAAAAGCTCGAAGTGCTTTTGCTAACTTTCGCCACCTATGGCAGCGGCACATCACTCTCGCTCTGAAGAGTAGAGTGTACAATGCAGCGGTACGTTCGACCTTACTGTATGGTTGCGAAACCTGGCCCCTAAGATCGGTGTACATAAAGACGCTAGTTACGTTCGACCATCGGTGCCTTCGCACTTTGGCTCACATCTGGTGGGAACACCGCGTAAGCAACGAGCGTGTTCGACGCCTTGTTTACGGCCTAGGAAAAGGGAATGAACCGCTCAGCACCGTCCTTTCACTCACCAGGCTCCGATGGCTGTGCCACGTGTTGCGCATGCCAGCCCACCGATTTCCACGACGTGCGTTGTTTTTTTACCGGGGATGTGGATAGAAGAAGAGGAGAGGTGGCCAAACGATGTCTTGTTCCAGAGGAATGAAGTCCCTCACTTCTGTGCTGGCCTCGGTTGGAGCGTCACGGTTCCCTGGTTGGGTTCCAAAAGACGATGAACACGTTCGGCTAGATACACTGGCTGACATGGCAAGGAGCCGACCTCAGTGGCGTTCGTGTTGTGAGTTTCTTTGTCCCTCCCCATCCCTTTTAGCCTCCCACTCCTACCACGATCTCGTTTCGTAGCGTAATATAATTTTTCTTGTTGCTTAGTAGCCGGCTGGTAGCTTACCGGAACGACGCCTATCCGTTGCTTGTAGCTCAGCTGGCATGCAACTGTTGTATTTATTTTCCTTTATGTATTGCGGCACAGTAGCTGAGGCGTTTCCCATCTCATGATGATGATGATGGTGATGATGATGATGATTTAAATGTAGGTCCAATGAGAAAGAGAGTGGCGTTATAGGTGGTTTGGTCCTTGTTCCCATAGCTCATCTTCAGGTAGATTAATTTGTAGTAATATGGTTCGGGCTGAGGAGTCGGATAAGGTTTGAGCGGAATTGTCATATGCTAGCAGATGTCATGATAACTAGGGGTAGGTTATTTCATATAAATGCGTATCTGTAGAAGTAGAAATTCGCTCGTATATTGCTGTGCACCACCGACAAGTTGTTGGAGTGGGGCCTGTTGCGAAGGGGATATAGGCTGTCGTCTATTGGTAGGGCAAGGTTTGTCATATACTTAGGTGTCCTAGTAATCCGCTACATGAAGACAAGTTGAATTCCGGCCTTCGGAGCCATATTGTTTTAAGTCACTTACAACGCCGCGGTAGTTGAGATTGAGACAGTTTAGGAGACGTTTGTTAACTGAGCGCTGGACTTCTCCGAGAGCGACTCGCTTTTACGCAAGTTACAATATACTATTGGGTAGTATTAGAGCAGAGGAGGGGCGCAAGTTTTGTACAGAGTAAGTGTGGACTCGATGATTTTCATAGTTTTAAGGATGTAGCCAGTGATAGAACGAGCCTTTGCTGAACAGCAGCTCACTTGCTCGGCAAAGTTTAGCGAGCTAGAGTAATGTATCGCTAGGTCTCGTACTGTAAAGCAGTTAGGTAGTGGTGAGCCATTGATCGATAGGATGTTGAGCGATACAGTGCAGCGATAGGAGATACCAGTGCGTTTAGCAGGCGAGAATTCCAGTTTCCATGTGTTGCTCCAAGCCTAAAGAGGCTTGAGGTCGCTTAGAATATTGCCAACTCCGTCGTGTAGTTGCGTCGGCGGGAAAGAGTACGCCACTTTTATGTCGTCAGCAAGAGATCCGGTTTACCGTGTTTAAAACTTTGGGACACCTAGTTCATATGCATCAGGAACAGTAGGGGGCCTAGTACACTACCTTAAAAGACCTCACTTGTTACTGGTTTAGAATGTGACTCTGAGTTCCCAACCTTTACAGATTGGGTTCTGGATGTGAGGTATGAGCGGAACAAGCAGCTAGTTTTACCAGTAGTTCTGGGTGTGGTACTCGATCAGAGGCCTTTTTCATATCAAGGAAGCTATTGATCGGTGCCTGTTGGCTATTGATCTATCGTGTCACGTTTTTCAAGTATTCGAATTGGAATGTCGAGCATGATTTAGATGACAGCGACCTCAGTCCACGATTAATCTAGGGTGGACCTCTGGCTAAGGTTTTTCCTTTTGTTACTGGAACGACCATCTCGATCAGTGACATCATTTTATTGTGCATAACATTCCACACTACATCTAGGTCCAAGTCATCAGGAATGCTCCAATCGGTAGCGCTTGCAACAGTCATCAGACGCTGAGGATCTGCGTGCCAGAAATTCCGACGGCGACCGCGTCGGTCTTGGACAATGGGGCGTCGAGTCCACTGCAGTGAGAGGGTACAGTGGTCGCTTTTGCCGATGGGTTGAATAACAGTGAGGTTTTCGACATCTGATTGTAACTGAGAGAACACGAGATCAAGAACATGGGCGTATGTCTAGCAAGGATTCTAGTATGCATCATGACGTGCTGAACTAAGTTGCAGTTGCGAACGTCTTCGATGAGAGCAGCGGGAAAGGAGACTGGAGAGAAGTCACAGTGGAGCAGGTCCCAATCAATATCAGGGGCATTGAAGTCTCACAATTAGGCAATTCCTACATCTTCCGTACTTTCTAATTGATTCTAACAGACGAGCTCTAAATCCCAAACGGGACCTGTGGATGACACCAATCATGAAAGAACTGCATCCATCATGAATACGACACCAGTGGGCTTCAGTCTTCATCCTCAATACAGAGAGCTTCAATAAAGTGAGCTTTGAGGCTTACCTTCCAATAGAGGATCACGCCGCCACCCAACATTCCATATCGATCAACGCTGGAGAGGTGATACCATGGGCTAAGCAGTTCCGTGTCCAGAACGTCCGACGACAACCAGTGCTCCAAAACAGCTATCAAATCTGTGCTATTCTCAGAATCAAGAAGTTGAATTTCATCCAGTTTATTTCACAGACTGTGCACATTGGCAAAGAATACGCGCAGTCCATTTTTCGACACTACTGTCCGGGCATGAAGAGTACCGGTTGCCAATGAGATCGCTGAGTCTTCCGGACTACACAAAAATCCACACTGCCGAGGTCAGCTTCGCCATTCTCGCTTCGGGTTCAAAGTTCATCAACCGTTGGCCTCATTCTTACCCGCTGCTCTGGGGAGAGGTCACGCAGAACCTAGAAAGATTCACCTTTGAGACGCACGGTGTGTTAGAGGATACATCGAAATTGGTCTTCATTTTGACACACAATTATGTAGTCACAGACTTTGGAGAATTTCTCTAGCTTTCTGCGGAGACGGAAGACAGAGACAGTGTTCATACTTTGCTCACTTTCATCGAACAGTAAGCGAAACATTCGCTGAAGAAATACTTGCTCATGCTGGAGTGTTTTTGGTCTACTCAAGCACATTCCTGATGATGAGACAGCGTTCACGCGAGGTTGGCTTGCTGTTCTCAGCATTTAGCGAACTAAGGGGAGCCGAGGCATCCTTTATCAGCCTTTCGAGTAGGTCAACTCTATCGAATTTACCAGGGATTGTGAGGACGACAATCTCTGTCTCTGTTTATGCTTTCCTCCCGTTGAACGGATGAACTTAGCATCATGTACTACTGGTCTCGATGTACTAGATGCAGGTGTAGCGTTTCATTTCACAATCGTTGCATACGTTCTAGTCATGGGTACATCGCGGTGGACAGGCGGCAACAGCTCCGGAGGCGCAAGAGATGAAGCTCGCTTACTCTTACCCGTATGCCTTACTGGGTCATATGGGGTTAAGGACGGTGGGCATGAAGACAGCACCGAATCAACAGAAGCTTATACCTCACCAACGAGAGTAGCAAAACCAGGATTACGTGCAGGTAACCCAACGAGAAGTCTCCGGCCGTTTATCAAGGTACGGCAGTGTTCACAAGAGAATAATATAACTGCGGTGGTAGTCAGTTGGAGCAGTGCATAACTTATGGGCAAATACCACAGCAAGCAATGTGTATCCATCCATCACAAAGAGAGCACTGGACAGCCTTTGAGCGAGATGACACCTTTATCACTGGTCGAGCACTAGGACACCATAGCGGCCCGGGAACACAACTGGTGTAAACGCTTAAGAAATCTTTTGGAAATGCTGTGCCACGTCTTGTAACTCTAAAGAAACGATATCAGAAGGAATATAACGCACGGGATGTCGCTGTCCGCAGCCTGGGCTACTCCCTCGACTACTTTATTAGCCGTCCACGTTCCCCTGTGGTAAGGCATTTCGTGTTAGGGTTGGATATGGTATTTTGAGCACAGGTGTTGCATATAGTGGCGTCCTCCGGGGTTAAGTACTCAGTCCGCTACTGTTTCTTATGCTTATAAATCTCTTGCCCGTTTTACTTGTGGAGCCCTTCTATATTTGTTAACATAGGCGACAGGGTTACTTTAACTAGATTTGGCTACTGTTGTTAACTGGTCACACTCATGGGATCTGCTCTTAAACGCCAGCAAATGCTAACTCTTGACTCATAGTGATGAAAATGTGGTACTGGCAGCATCTGTTGAGTCGCTGCCAATGCAGTAGACTATCTAAGCATAAGCCAGGATGGACAACAAGGTGTACTGCATGTACTGATGTATGGTGGACGCCAGTTGAACTGCGAGTGAAAGTGCTCGGCCCAGCGGTCGATACGCCTCTGTTGGCTGATGATCGGAGACTCATGCACCTCACAGATGACTTCATTGACACCAGGCTTCCTGAGGCCAGTGGACCGGATGAGTTAGAAAAGCCTGCGAGTGTTGCCAGAGAGGGCAGCGGTCTCCATCTTTAAAGTACGCTCAAACCACCATGTCTCGCGATCCTTGCGTAAGCTTTGCTTGAGCAGCCGGTTGGCAGAACGGCGCCGCTCGTTGCAATCCGATTCCGCGGGGATATTTCTGCGGCGTTCGAACAGCTCCAGTGAGCGAGCAGAGATCCAGGCCTTCAAGGGGCGTCGAGTTAGGCCGCAGCATGACTGTCCGGAAATGGTCATCGCCTTCCGTATACACGTCCGGTGTTGTTTCACTTCTTGCGTTGGATTGCAACTGAGTGCATATGTCAGTGAAGACTGATAGCTCGCCTGGACAGAGGAATCCGTTAATCTGTTTACATCAATCTTGCGGTGTTTCGTGTTTCGAGATCCTCCAAAACACATACAGATTTTCGCGCAGACCAGAGCATGATCTGAGTCAACGAAGGTGGACCAAAAGGACCTGCAGTCCAGTACGCTGCCGCGCCATCAGCTAATTGCAAGGTGATCAACTTGAGACCACGGTTGCGTTGAAGAAGGGGGATGCCACGTTGCGGAACGCTTTTTCGTACGCCTGGACTTACTGCTCGAGAGAAACAGATAGTTGTCTTCGCACAATGTGAGAAGCGTCTCTCCGTTAGCAGAGTGGTTCTCATCAAGCGCGTGATGACCACCAAGGTGGCGTTCGTATGGTAACAGGCGGCCAACCGGTGCATTAAAATCCCCAGCAAGGACAACGACATCCGACTTTTTCGCATTAGTCAAGAGCTGATCTAGATCCCGGTAGAATTCGTTCTTGACCGAGTCGCCACTGCAGTCATTTGGAGGGTACTCGGAGATCACAAACAATTTGCATCTCTCTTCGCGGTGCTTGTTGATTCTACAAAAACCCCGAAGCCGAACTGCGTATAGTCGGCTGTTACTCGCGAAACAGTGCAGTAGTGGCGCCTCGGCCTTGCCACTTAGTGCTATACCTACTCTAGCCAAACCCGCTGAGGCTGCTTCTGACACAGGGGATATCTGGCTTCGTGATCAGTGGGGGATATCAATGTAAGCAGAGCGCTGGGATCTTGCAACTGGGTTTCTGAAAGGCAGCAGACATCAATGTCTAGGGAATCTAGGGTGCGCGCTAGACCGGCTTGCTGTCCAATCTGCAGAACTGTCCGAACGTTGAAGCACGCCAGACGGAACGAGGGCCGGGGACGAAGGAGAGCTATAGGTTGAACTCCGTGGTCTGCGGCGCAACCAGAATCGCAGTCAGATTGTTGAACATATGAATCGAGTAACGGAAAATGAGGATTCTTAGCAAACAAACAATTGGCGTGTAATGAAGTCGCGTGAATGTGAGAAGCAGAAACAGTAGCTAATGAGCATCGACATCTTGGAGCGTGCTGTGGTAAACTATCGGTCTAGTGGCATTGATTTGCTTCGGAGGTATATCAACGACAGGTTACTCCGAACATGTTGCTAAAGTTAGAAGTGCCTGTATTGCGGTTCTGAAATATCTTTATCTATTCTGAGTGAGTTCTTATTTACTGCTTTGCGGCTACTTTCTCCCTCACTATCTTGAGCCACTCTGGAAGTACTCGATAACGTGGCTTACTTTCAGAGCTGTTTTAGTTTGAGTGGGTTGACGGAGAGATATTTAGCTAATTTCCATAGCCACATTACCTTTTACCGACCTCCGCGATTTCAGGCACCGACATAACATCAGCGTGAGTCTACAGCGCAATAATGCATACATTGCTTTTTAAGCGCTGCAAGATCTGGCCAGATCGTGCGGTCGATTTTCATAGACTCTATTTTTGATCACAACTTGCCTTCGAAACATTGCTGGTATGTGCTGGTAGCATCACATTGGTTATAACGTTTGCTGTCGAATGTTCAAGTCATACAGGCACTTCTGACGGTTGCCCCATAGCGCCATTTGCACGCGATGATTTGACAGAAAGCGACGGGAGATTGGCTAATACACTGCACGCCACGGCCTGCAATCAATGTTGCAGCTCAGTGAAACTATTTGTTGCTTAAACCAGAACCCCGGAGCTTTTGATGATAAGTGACACTTTACCAGTTGCAAGGAATCAACATGTGTTGTGTGCACATAACCAACCGACTCCAAATACACAATTTTTAGCATACTCATGCATTGCTCTCCTTGCTGGCTGTTCCTATGCAGACAGTCCACAGATAGACATGGAACCATCAAAAGCCACGAGAAACATTGGAAGGTTCAGCTATCGTAAAAAGCATACCGACTACAACCCAATGCAATGCACGCTTTTGTCAGAGGACGTCATACTACCCGATTGCCGAAGTCGTCGTAGGGAGTTGACTTATGAGACACCACCTGGAGCCTTTTGTTGGGATAGCCTGCTCGCAGGGCATCGAAGCGAAGTCAGGGAATCGCACTCATTGGGAGCCAGTAACTGATTTTGTACTTCATATATCTTGCGTTTACTTAATTACCGAACAGGGATCTAGCCCTCACCACAATTTCAGCAACAAGTTGCTGGAATACCATGGTCTATCGAAGTGAAGCTAGGGGAAATGACTATGTCTAACGGTGAATCACATCCGCCATGTCGTAGTGTTGTTAGGCGGACAAATATGGCTTTTGTTAGGAGAACGCTTGTCAGGTGAAAACTCATTTCACTATGGAACACTGTCGTCGAGCCATTTGATGGAGCGAGTTAATCCCGAAACACCCAGCTAGCACCACGAGGAGGTTTTTCGGCAACACAATATTTACCAGCAACATTCCTTTTGAGAAATCCGAGACTTCGCAGCAGGCCTTTGCAACTGGATTTACAAATGCTGTTTTCCACATGGGCACGGGCTAGGAGTACTTTGTACCGGTTGATGGTTGCTGGCTATCTTCTTTTGCTTTCTGTTGGTTTTTCTAAATTCCTTTTCACAAGCCATGGTCTGTAACTAGTTTTTGAGCCGCGGTGAGTTTGTTTAATTCGTCGAATCCAAGTCCCATGGTTAACGTTACTCCACACGGGTACACGACTCATTGTTTTTTGTTTATTACTGTGCACGAATTAGGATTATTCGGAATGTAGTGTTATCATTTAACAGAGACCATATTTTGCCTTCGTGGCCGGGGATCACCGGTTGGAACTGCATTAGCACGGCCATTGACCAAAAGAATTAAACTCCTTCCTTCTCATTCGGAGTTTACCAGTTCGAATACGCCTAGGTGAAAGTGACCTTGCAGCACACCCTGCCTCCACGCGACAGGTGGTCGCTGGCTGTACCCACAGACGCCGCGGATTTTTGCCTTACCGTACTGCATCATACCTATCCTTTGGGAATACTGTGTTATAGTAGTTTTCTCTGTGTGAATTGTGCACCAATATTTTTTAGTGTATTATTCTATCTGTGCAAATTTTGTGACTATTCTCCGGCTACTTTCGGAGATCTCATTGATTGGCCCAACTGCCGTTTGTGTTCACCATCTTGGTTTTTTTTCTACAGCAATCTAACCGATGTCTGCCAGACCACCAGCTTGACCGACAGTGTTTGGATTCAGCGTACCATTATAGGCGTTGCGGCGAACGACTTCCTTAGCTCTGATGGTCATAATGGCTCGTACTGCTTGCCCACAGAAAGCTAAGCCTAAAGCTTCCGAAATGAACGTTAGTTGTGGCGTAGACAGCTGTGTAAAACGTGCCATATGGAATAGAATGCAGAAACTGCCGAAATTGCTTCCATTCTCGATGTGCTCGCCTTAGTCTCGGCCAGGTAAAAAAATTTAATAGTACCACTAATTCTCTGGTTCTGCACTAAGTGCACGTCTTTTACACTCGTCAGATGTCTATGTGTGTTGGCACAGAAGACTGCCAAAGATTATAGCGCTGGCAGCAGCCATGAAAGCTGTTCCACATGAACCAGACAAATCAGTGCCTCGAATCCGATGCTCAATATTAATCTCCAATTCAAAACAGTGTAAGAGTAACGATCCCTAGTTAGCCACCCCGACACTAGCGGCTGCTCATAAAGATGCGATCACTACACCTTCAACACCACCCGTCACACTGTAACCTGTTAAATGGTCGACAACACGCGTCCGTTGATGCCACCTATATGACGGAGGCACCTCCCATCGTAACCCAGCCGTTGCCAAACGAGTTAACACTAACAATACTACCACGGGACCCATGACCCCGTCATTTGTCCAACCGAAGAAAGCAGCCGCTGGTCCCTCCAGAAAGGAGAACATGAAACACTATAATTCTATTACTGTTGTGTACTCTAATGTGACTGAATCCGGGGCGAACTCCATAAACGAAAAGATACTAGACGACAAAAAGCAGTGGGACTCCCTGTGTCAACTAATAGGAGTTCAAGCTAAACCAGTCAGTATGGATGCGTCTCGTCCGTCACCCAAAGTCCGTACACTACGATGAACCGCGGTTACTCCATGTAACACTTCAGTCAGCTAATCATGCAGAAGCAGTTCTCCTGTCAGCCACTCGCCTCCGTACCACCACATGCTATGTTCGAATTTTCCCAAATGTTCTTTGGAGCGAACGCCAGCAACGTAAAAAAAATCCGGATGACTTCCGTAAACAACAAGACACAACATCTATCGATGTCCCCGAGCTCCAGACATTAGGCGAGCTAAAGGCCAAAGCGCATGGCTGGGATGAATAACGTTTTATTCTTGAAGTGCTCTCACTCGAAAACCTTATCGCTACTTCGACATCAAGGTTACCGCTATCACCTAACTACAAAGGGTGTGGTCCACAAGTGCTGAAAGTATCATTGCACTCTGAACTGATGGCAAAACATATGATCAAAATGTGGCACAAAAAGCGTAAAATGCTGCCATCTGAAATACTTATAAAGGCGATAGGCACTGAGCCACAGATAGACAATGAGCAAGCAACTTACCAATCCAATTCTGTCACCGTGTAGCTCAGAACGGAAACAATACCAAAACATGCTGACAGCTGAAGGAGGACAGGATGGTCACCCTATTGTTGGCGCTGTGAGCTCTATACAACAACCTGAACTGGTTTTAGGGCCTGCGTCATCGGTCCTCTAAAACAAACGACCGGCAGTCGACCCCCCAAGGGTCGGCATAAATCGTCACCAGAAACCAGCAGTCACACACACGATTCTGACTACCGACGCCCTCACCTGTTTGTATACCAATGCACAAGGTCTTCTCAGCAAGCTAAACGAACTTCGTATTCGTCAGCCCTCCATGTCTTGGGACCCTGTTATGGTCACCGAATCATGGCTGAACACGGATATCACAGATGCTGAGATTGCTGTACCTGGCATAACTTCCATACAAAACGATCGACCTAGCAGTGAAGGGCGATTGCTCCTGTATTATCAATCCGACCTACATGTTGATATCATTGAGGACTCAGAAACGAAAGTCGTCGATTCTCCTTGGTGTTCTATCAACCTAAGACATGGTGATGTGGGTTTACTAGCAATAGTTTACCGCCCTCCAATGTCCACCTTGGAAATGGATCAATGCCTAGCTTCTGCGATGATACGAGTCCTGGTACGACCACATGGTCACGTCCTTCTGATGGGGGACTTCGACCTGCACGTAATCGAGGTTACAACGTCGCACAGCGAACAATTCAAGGCTGGCTTGCAAGTGATTTCCGATGTACCTCTGCACAACCATGTCATCTCTCCCACGCGATTCCAAACGGGTGACGCACTCTCTGTTTTGGACCTTGTGCTCACCAACTAGGAACTAATGTTCGACATCGTGATCATAGATGCAGCACTTGGCCGTAGCGAATACACGATGTTGCTCTTTCGTTATATCTGTTACGCGGATTACATCAGTGAGAACAACGTGGAAACCTATATCGTTATACATTACGATATCCTGCCCAATCTCATTCAAGAAACCTACTGGTCCTTCCTGGCCGAGAAGCCGCCCGATGTCGCTTGGATGGTGTTTGTCACCCAATTCACTGTGCTAGTGGCAATTGCGTCAGAAAGCAAAGTCCTTTACCCAAAGCAGGTGAACTCGTTCCTGAGGAGCCGTTCTAGAAAATGCATGGCCTTAAGGGATTCAGCCTGGCGCGCTTACAAACTCTGTCTAAGTAATCTGGCCTGAACTGCTTACACAACGACGAAATCACTGCGTCAGGTTGATCCGCGAAGACAAACTCCAGCACCAACAGGACTTAGCGGCGGAATTCAGTACAAATCCCAAGTTGCTTACAAACACGTCAACCAGCTCTGCAGTGCATCGCGGGATCCCGGTTTTACGTGCAACAGATGTTCTTGCGCAAACCTCACCAGATGCAGCCAACATGCTTCGCCAACACTTCATCCATACTTTCCGGAATGAACAATCATTTCATCCGCTTTTTACACAGCTTCCATCGTCTCCAGGGTTAAACCGCGTATCCTTCACGACAGCCAGTGTGCTGAAAACGCTAATGTCATTGCTATGCACAGCTAGCCTGTCGTGGACGACATCAAATCGAAGGCATTGAAGACATTGGCCATGAACCTTGACGAACCATTAGCTCGGTTCTTCCAACGTTGTCTCGACGAAGTGCAGATTCCCACAATGTGGAAACATGGACTAGTCACTTAATTACAAGAGCCTTAATCGTGCGGAACCCTCGAACTACCGTCCAGCCACTCTGTTCCCAATTCTATCCAAAGTAATGGAACGTATTATTGCAGAGGCGCTCACGGGATAACTTGAGAGCAACAACATCCTAGTGTTACAGCAACACGGATTCCGCCGAAATCGATCTTGCACTACAAACTTACTTCTAACCCGAGCAAGCTGGACAGAGTCAGCCTATGCCAGAGTTGGAGTCGACGTTGTTTACCTAGACTTCTCGAAAGCGTTCAATCGTTTGGACCACCGCATTCACCTTCACAAGCTTCGAAGCTATGGAATTGGTGACCCTGTGTTCGGTTGGATCGGTAACTTTCTCGCTCAACGTTAGCTAAATATGAGAGTCCGCAGCTCCATTTTCGACCCAGTTGACGTCCAATGTGGTGTGTCCCAAAAAATCGGTACTGGGGCCAAGTTTATTCCCAACATTTATTAGCGATCTTGCCAGTGTACTGCTTCATCATCATCATTATACATGTCAGCTAGAGATGGTAAAACACCTCCGCTGTTGTACCGCAATACATAAAGGAAATACATACATACATACATACAATACATAAAGGAAAAATAAATACGACAGTTGAATGCCAGCTGAGCTACCAGCAACGGATACGCATCGTTCCGGTAAGCGGGTGTCATCAAAACGTTCGGTATTGGCGTGAATCTGACCACACGACAAAGGGAATGCTGAAGGCACATGGGACTGGTCAGCCGCATGAGAGGGGTCGTAAATTCCGGATGGTTGACCCAGGCGAACTGCAAGATCTGATGAAGTACCACCGGCCGCAGTATGGGAACTGTTGGAAGTGACCATAGAGGAGTTCTGAAAAGATTTCATGGAGATTACCGTACATACGATGTATTCCACTTCTTCACTGAACGGATTTGTGAAGCCAAACAGATTGCATCTGACAGACACCGGATCATCTGAACGTTTGCCCCTAAGGGTCAGAATCAAGGAGAACACCTCCCCTTTGAATTTCCAAGCCCTTTCGAATAACTCTTGGAAATCGGTCTTTTCTTTGTTGGACTCGAGTAAGTCCACAAACGGACGTCCGAGCACTTCATCTGTCTCGACTCCGAGGACGTTTTGAACGCGTTGATCACAGAACGTTATCCGAGTGTCAGAAGACAGGCGAGTGAAAAACTCCTGTAAGCGATAGGGAGACAAGTCCACTGCATCTGGTCTGTTGTTGACCTGCAAGCGGGCAAGAGCAACGAGACAGCGCGGTATTTGCGGATCAGAAACTTTGTCCGATTCCGTTTGGTTGGATCCGTTAGCACCAGTGTTCTGAGCTGCAAAATCAGCATCCTCTGGGGCGAAGCCGTCGTAGAGAGGATAAGACTGGGACACAGCTGATCGTCCGTTACTAGTATGGGTATCAGGTTTCGGTGGTCCGTGAACGGACCCCATGGGTCGAACAAAACCTGTAACGTGCACAAGAACATGAGATGGTTGACCGGAAGTACACGGCGGACCGAAGGCCTGTCGCTGTCGGAGACGAGTTCGAGCGGCGGCAGAGGAGCAGTTGACCGATCGCATGTCCAGTAAAGATGAAGAGCCGGGGACGGCTGATCCCACACGCATTCGGCATATAAAACCACGACGAGTACCCATACTGCAGTCGGTTTTCTTACCATTTACGGATGATGTCAAAATTTGACATGACATCAGAACAGCGGAAGATCACATTGAATTACAGAGCGATCTCATCAGGGTTTATACGTAGTCTTCCGACAACGGGCTCCAGTTCAACGTGACGAACTACAAAGTCGTGATCATACGCCATCAGCTTATCTATGGATATCGACTTGGGGACCAGCGGTTGCAACATGCTTCCCAAGAAAGCGACCTTTGGTGATCGTGCAAGACGATCTTTACTGCTCGAAACAAGCTGACAAGACATCAAAAAGAGCCAGTCAACATCTTGAACTCTTACGGAGAGCTTTCGGAAATTTCGAGCCATTAATCTCTCCGCAAATGCTGAACACCTACGTGAGACCCCACATGGAATATGCTATCCATACCTGGCGTCCGTGGCGCAAGCGCGACATCAGTGCACTTGAAGCTCTGCCGCGTAGAGCAACCAAACTCGTAAGAGGATTGTTTCACATACCCTACCAACGCAGACTGCAGTCCCTGAGATTGTACAGTGTAGAATATCGACGTCAGGGAGGAGACTTCACCATCGTTTACTTAATACTGACGAATCCTACTCACCCATGTCGCAATCTGTTGCAGTTGAGCCAACCTGAGAGGCCATCAGCTCAAACTGGCTACGCACTACAGTCGACTTGATTGTCGACGAAACAATTTCTCCCTCCGTGTGTCCCGTGCCTGGAATGCCCTTCCGACACTATCCTTGCTCTACATTAACGCTATTCAAACGCTTTCCAACTTGCATTACTTGATATAGTCCGTTCTACTTGGTGTTCGAAATAAAGCAAACTTAACCATATGCTTAACGGCTCTCTACGCAATATGGCGGTGAGGATACATGCAGAAGTGTCTATGTGAGTAGCCTGGATCTATCTAAACTGGATTGACATACCACGTCTGTCAAATGAAACGACACACCAGTGAGCGTTATTGTTTCCATTTTTCTTTCTCACGCATTTACTGAACTATAACGGCAAGTTATACTATTTAGTGTGTGCACATCCCATTCTCACTTCGAACTGTCGTTGTGTAGTGGTGCACTTAAATCGGTAGACGCTCAAAATAATGATTTACTTATTCGTTGATCCTTTTACTTTTCATCCATCCATCCTACGGGACTTGTCAAGCACATGCTTTTTTACCCGTGATAAATTATTGTTCACATGACAGCAAAACGTTGACGCCATGTGGGGACGTACTACTAACCATCGGCAATGCATAAGCTATCTGCATCGCCCAAGTTACATTGTCCTACTCTAGTTCTTATTCCATGGTATTCCTGGAGCCGTCCTACGGAATGGTCATTATAACTTATGAAGCAGTCAAAGGCTATGGTCTTTAGTCGTTGACTGCTTTTTCTCTCATCGATCCTATTTACACAGAATGCTACACCTTGCCTTCTCATAATAGTCGTTCGTTCCATTAACTGCGTTGTTGGATTATGCCTGCTTCTGAACTCTTGTACACCACTACAAGTGTTCTGGTTCTGTCTCCCTGTCCTTAACCGGCTCACTTCGCCACGATTCTTATTTTGCGTTTAATCATACTACTTACATTTGTTGATACTATAGTGATTAAACTGTTAACTTCTGCAAATTACCGCATTGTTTATCATTCTCTGTGGGCCATGTTTCATATTCTGCGCTTTTCTCGGAACCGTCCTTTCATTCACCACTTTACATTTAGGTGCATATGTAGTATCGATTCCAATAATCATAGTAGCAAATGCACACGCCATGTTGGGTTTTGTGGCAACTGAATATTTTTCCGATCATCTTACTCCCGCCGTGTGCACGTAGGTTGGCCAGTACCATGATGTCTGCCATGAAACCACCACCCATCTGAAGGAGTAGCTTTTGGTCTGCTTTACAGAATCATAAAACTGGACGTGCCACGCTCCAAATCACTCTTCAGGATGCTGCGGAGTCTGTTTTTGTCCATAATCTTTGCAGTCATGATTCTGCCCACTGGACATCGCTTCAATTTGATCACATAACTGTGATCCGCTCTCCGAATGGAGGCGATTCCAATTTACCTTGCTACAACAGGGTGATCATAATTAACAGTTGTCACGTTGTGAATGTATGATGAAGTAGATGGAGTAGTCTGTAAAAATGATTTAGCTATTTTTCGTTTTTCTGGTGGGAAGAATTCAATGCAAAGAATCGACCGCATTTCTATTAGATCACCAATGAAAAGTTCTCTACGCCATGTTGTAAGGACATTTTTGGTTGTTACAGTCACTTGATTCTCGAATTTTAGCTGCCCTCGACTATTCACCTTAAATCATCATTCGATAAAGCTCCGAATCAAGCAACAACACCACAGAGTGATCGGTCGGCAGGCTTTATGAGGAACGTAGCAACGTACATCGATAGCGTCCGTTACTGTTAACTGTTTTCTAGATTAGCGATGCTTTATAGCAGATCCATCGCGCTCCAGATACTGCACTACCTATCAAAATGACTAAATCGCTCATCCATGGTTGAGAATTACCTGCACGCAGCTCAGCAAGCCAACATTTCATCTGTTTGATGTTTGTAATGCGCTGATCGGCTGAGGATCACATTCAAATCCCAACAGGTTGTGACCATCGTGACCCAAGAAGCATTAACTGGCAACGTCTGCTCCATTAGTTACCGGCCACTTAGCTTGAGAATGGATCTGTGATTTATGTGCTTGTAGAAGTACTGCGAGTGATTTGCGCTACGCCGTATGTCTGCAACGATTTCCATATACGCGTATGCAACTTAAGCCCGAAGAATTAGGAGTGCAAACAATGCGGATGGAAATCGTGCTTGTTTCCGAATCCTCTCTCTCTCAATCACATTCATAAATTCCGAAACCGTAGTATTTCTGCAGATGTCTCCTCGTTATGTGTCAGTTTGAATGACCTGTTGATTTTGGAAAACGTATGCGCACCAGCTTTGCTTTAGGCGGTGCTAAGGCACATCCTACTCCTCAACGAGACCATTCTTTCATCCCATCACCGTCCCGAAGGCTGTGCATTGCGTTTTCTTTGACAGCCAATTGCATTCTCACGAAGCCTGTACTCGAGGTAGCTCCATCAGTGAGGCGCGAATGTTACTGGCACCTGCATCGAGTACAACCATACCGCTCGTTTCACACGTGTCAAACGTGCGAAAAGCTACATGCAGTGATTCAAATGTCGACCCGCTGTGATGGTGAGACTTGGCAAATTTTCAACGGTGAAAGTAGCGTAATTAGTGAATGTATACATCTGGCCGTATCTGACAAGTCTTTGGATTTTCTCTAGCCTCAGTAATTGCTATCAAGCTACTTACTGCTGTGCAGGGAAGATGCCACCTCTATTGTTAGTGAAACGTTTACAACAAAACTGCTCGGGCCGGAGTACCAATCAACATCACACCTGGCCATATCAGCCGCCGCTTTCAGAATCACTGAATAGCGGCTTCAAAGTGATAGATATGTTGCAAGTGTAGTTGTATAGTATGTATTTGCGCCTGTATTCAATGGGTTCTATACAAAGGATTTATGTGTAGAGCCGGCTACAGCCTAACTATACCTCCTTATGTGCGCTTGATTCTCCAAATACAGCGTGCTTGTGTTTGCCTGTGAAGGAGTGTAGGCCGGCTCCGTTGATGAGACGTGGCTCCAATCCACATGCCTCCCGGTATGATTCCTTCAGCTTTACACCGGATATGTGGATGGAGCTGTGGGTGGTGCAGCGCAAGCCACCCATGGTCCCTCTGTAGGCGCAAGCGTCCTGTGGCTGTTTCCGTAGAGGCCGCAGTGGCAGGCATATCCGGACCTGGTTGCCGCCAACCATCCATTGGACACGGAGCATACGAGTGGTACAACCCAAACCGGCTATAAGATCTTTGTGATTACAAGCGTTGTGCTGCTATTCCCAATCGGAAGAGGACCCTGCTGACCGTAGCGGCTTATTCTGGTGTAAGCCCTCCATTTATGCGTACTATTCGAAATAGACGGACGCAAACAGCTAGACAAATCCCTCAGACCATTTTAGCGACATTTCGTGCACGCCTAACATATTGGTCAAATTTGTTCTGGCTTTCGCGTGCCGTCCTCACGAGTGTGAGCCCTTGGACGTCGACCACATCACAGGTTGGGGACCGCATGGGACCTGACGCAGTCACACGTTCATTGGCGCCTCTGTATTCAAGTTGCCGATTAAGACTGATAATTTTATAAGTAGAAATTCATTACTTCTGTCTCGGTCAGACAGCCCATCACACACACCAGGAATAACACTGTGCAGCCGTTTCATCATTTCGGGAATCGTCAACAGTGCATTTTCCATGCGACTCTTGTGGGGCTTGAGCTCACACTTTCACTGTTGTCAGTCTGCGGTGGAGACCACTGGGATACGGTGTTGCATAACGACTGATGTCTTTGAGTTACTAGATGCAATCTAGCGTCCAGTTTGACTGTGTCTCGATGTAATGCCTTTCTACTTATGCCATTCATATCATCTACTCATCATCATCAACAACAGCAGTACATCAGGCATTTAAACTTTTGCTTCGCTGCCATACAACCATGATGGCCTATGGAATGAGGAATGATAAGAGGCTGAAAAGGGGGCCTTATCTGAAAACCTTAGTTCACTAGGCAAGCGTTCAGTGCCGAAGCGCCTACACCTTGGGTTAACAACATACCGTCACAAACAGCTGACTATCGTGCAAAGTTAAGGCGGCAGCATCGAGACAGCTCCTTTGCGGCTTTCACTGCCGCGTGTCATGATCAGCCGTTACCCAGCTACTACTTCCCTGTGCTCTGTCAATTCTCCTAACTTCCTTCTGCTTTCCTCCTCCCAGCGTTTCCTTCCACTTTTCTCACTGTCATTATTAATCATTATCGTGGCAACACGAGTCTTGTCTGCTGAATTCATCTCGTTTCATTGCCTGGATCACAGTTGCTTG